CCGTTAATTATTCGAACGTCAGCTAAGCTACAAATTATCTCAGTTTCCTTTTTCAGTGCCCATTGGTTTTTCTTAATCTTCGAATGGATCCAGCTTATTATTTTCTGCAGACTGTTAGAGCAATTTTAAAAAAGTAAGTTGAAACTTTCGATTATTCAAATAGAATTCTGATGCTGGATCTACAAAGGAAAGCATGTTTCGATGTCATGAAAAGTGGATTGCTTCAAAAAATGGATAAAGGCATATCCTTTGTTTCTCTAACCATTCCGAAACCTGTTTATCAATTTCACGTTGCTCTGCGGGGGAGGGGGGTGAATATTGCGGCGCCCAATGAACTGGAAGTTGATCTGTCAGCACGATCCTTATCTTCAGGGCAGATGTTTTTATTTTATTCGGCTTATGGTTCATTACTAAATGTAGTATTTCATCTCGATCTCGATGTACTCTGATATGATTTAAATCAAATTCATTATAAATATCACGAATACACATCAAATAGTTTTCTGGTTGCAATTTTCTAATTTCGACTATGCGTAATGTATGCTTTACGCATGCACGCATTGAAAGAAACGTTTAATAAAGTAAGCAAATAAATATTAAGCTTCTTTAGATCAAGGATGTCAAACTCGTGGCCCACAACAAATATTTTTGCGGCCCAGCCAATATTTCGGCAAATAATAATATATAATAATAAAATAACATATCGACGAAGAAAAAAATTTAATGTTTACTGCTAAGTAATTAACGATAATTTATTCAGTGTTGTTAGATTACTCACAGCGAGCTGACACGCACACTACTTAATTAAATGCGTTGAGTAGCTTGCGTTCAGCTACCTTCGGCTTTTGGGGGACACGGCACTCAGAACTTGTACGGATACCCCGATGGCCGAATGTGGCCGAACTCATGGTCTCAGTTTTCCAATCATAGTTTTGTACGATATATTGGTGCATGCATGTGCATGCACTTTGCTTTATTATTAATTATTACTTAATTAAATTGTTACGGATTTCATAGTTATTTATTTTTTAGTTTTTTTTTATTTAGAATTATAATTAGATTTGCTTCATGATGGCCTTAGCAACGCAGACGATTTTTGAAAAGAACAGCTGCCTTGGAAGGTTAAAATAAACAGCGCATGCATTTAATACCTAATAAAAAATATCCTCGTAATTGCTGTTGCCATCCCCAAAATCCAGATATTTATAGATGTTTCCAGTTATTCAAGAAAATTAATTATAAGCTTATAAAAGCCGAGAACAAACAACTCATCCAGTAGTAGCTGTAGTTCTAGCAAACTGTTTTTTTTACTAATGCTGTGATTGATTTGTAGCGATTTCGCTGTGAGATAGAATTAGTTTCTCTGTTTTGAAATTGATTTTTTGCTAAACGTTTGACATTTTGTGATATTGTTAGAATTTTTGAAGAAATATTTCAGCATTTTGATTTATCTCTTGTGGAAAAGAATAAATTTTTGTTAACTTTTTAACGTTAACTGTGTTTATTCCAGCCCTTGTATTCAGTATGTCTATATCAAAACGAAGTGTAGTAAAATTAAATGAAAAATCGCTGAAGACATAGAATATTCAAGTAAAATGCGAATTAGATAGTTTTTGCTGTGAAATAAAGATAAAATAATCTGCTTGATATGTAATAATATATTAATGTACCAAAGTTATATAATATTAAATGTCCTTACGACAACACAAATCGAAATATAACAATCGAAGATTAATGAGAGAAAAATTGAAAGAGCTCAAGTTAGAAGTGAAAAAGCACAGTCCATGTTTAGTAAAGTATTGCAAGAAAGTGAACGGCGGTACATGAAGCTACGTCTTGTCAGAGTTGATAGCTAAACATTCGAAGCCTTTTACTGATGGTGATTTCATCAAGGAATGCCTAATGAAAGCTGGAAAAATGTTTGTCGGAAATGTGAAGGCTTTTCAATCAATTTCACTGTCTTGAAATACAGTTGCGGAAAGAGTTACGATTTAGCGCGAATTTAAGTGATCAGATCAAAGCAAAATCATCTAGTTTCGAAAGTTTCTCCTTGCCTGTGACGAGAGCACGGACATTAGTGGCAAGCTCAAAGCATGTTTCTTCGTTCTTGTGACAAGATTTTAACATTTTTTGAGGATTACTGGAACTAATACGATGCCTGGTACTACCACAGGAGAAGATGTATTACTTGTTGTTTTTGGACTTCTGCAGAAATACAATCTACCTTGGCAAAATAAATTCTGTACTACAGATGGCGCTCCATCAATCGACGGAGGAAAAAACAGGGCTTCGTAGCATTACTAAGAAAAAACACTAGTGAAATTCACGGTTTCCAAACATTCATCATATGCATTATATTATACATCAAGAAGTTCTTCACGAAAGTAATAATATGGAGATGTTTTGTCATATATAAAAAAGTTTAAATTTTATAAGATCTCGAGGTTAAATCAGCGCCAATTCACTGCTTTCTTAGTAAATTAGATAGTGAATATTCGGGTTTGTCCTACATACCGAGGTACGTTGGTTATCTTGCTCCAAGATTCTCAAACAATTCTGGGATTTGAAAGAAGAAATATGTCAGTTTTTAAAAACGAAAAATCAGACGTAATTTGTTTTTTACATCCAATATGATACAAGATTTACCTTTCTTGGTTGATATAACCAACACTTAACCGATTTAAATTTATCGTTACAGAAAAGATCATATCATTACGAACATGTTTTTGACATAATAAAGCATTCAAATGTCAACTAGTTCTTTGGGAAAAACAACTTAAAAATGAGTTTGACGCACTTCCCGACGTGCAGCATGACACATCAAGTTTTAGATGATACTTGTTCGTATCAAAAATATGCAGAAAATTGCAAATTAACAACTAATTTGAAACGAGGTTAATGATTTAGTTCCCTCGAAGACAATTTTTTTTTTTTTTTTTTTGTTTTTGTTTTCTTCTATTTTCTCAATAAGTTTGGACTCAGTACCCACCCATATGCAAATGGAGGTGATCGAGATTCAATGCAACTCAAATTTGAATGCAAATTATTGAAGTGGGCGTGCCTGAATTTTACAAATATTTACCAGCCAGGTTTGTAACTACTCGAAAATTCCATATGAAATTATTTCCATGTTTGGTAGCACTTATGGTGAGCAGTTATTTTCAGTCATGAAACGTAATAAGTCTCCTATTAGAAACTGTATTAATGATGCTCACCTTGGGTCAGCGTTGAAAGTTATCACAGCAATAAAATTTCTACTGAAATAGGAAAGATAATAGCAGAGAAGAGATGTCAAGTATCCGGACGTAAAATTAATTTTTCTTGTTCTTTTTATATATATTATTATATATGTTTATTATTGTATTATTTGAAATAAATCTACGTTTCTATGATTTTATTTTTTTTTTTTTTTTTTTTTTTTTTTTTTTGCGGCCGCCTAAGTTAAACCTGTTTGTTTTGGCCCAAGTACCTATGAGTTTGACATCCTGCTTTGATCTTTGCTCTTTATTTCATAAATTACGGTTTCATATTTTTAATTTCATAATTTCTGCATGCCAACTTACCAGATTTAAACTGAGGATCTATAATCTGGAAAAATCGATAATTCTGAATTGCTGAAGTCCCGACGAGTCCGGATTAAAGACTTTTGACTGTATATTATAATATATAATTGATATTTAAAACTAAGGTATGACTCTAGAAAGCTGCTTGGATGATTAATACAGAAATACATAAGATAAGCTCCAACTACTTGATGCCTGAGAAAAATAAATAATATTCACAGAATATAAAATACAATAAAGTGAGTTAAATTTACAAGACAGTATAAGAAAAGATATATCAATCCTCTAAAATTATACTAAGGTTCAGTATTGCCATAGGCCTTTTGTTAGTAAACATGTTTGTTAGTTTTTTAGTAAACATGTTATTAGCAGTACTTCTGTAATGATAGTTGTAGATATTCAGTTCAGTTCTGTATAGGGTTCTCATCTTGACATAAAAATTTTTGGCTAAATATACGGAGTTGAACAACTTTTAGTTATTCGTGAATTCTATTACTGAACACATACCAAAGCGCATTATAAATCTGATGCAGAATACAGTTATGCACCCTTTGTAATATTTTTTGACTGGATTTATATGAGTATGCCTAGACTAGACAGGTGTAACATAGCATGGGATGCAAAATGGATTTACAAATGAGTAACTTGTTACTCATTTGTAGCTAACACACTGTTTCGATCAATTAAGGGGCTTTATGCACTAGAAATTTCTTTATAATACCTTGTATGTGTGGAAACTATGTAACAAGACATATTGAGGATCATCTCACTATCAGTTACTTGCATAGCCCAGAGTTGAGTGGTCCCAAAGAAGTGAAGATTTTGATCAATAATTTTCTTTTTAGTAAACCTGACTTCAGTTGTTTTACTGATATTAACCTGTACTTTCCATTATTTTTAAGCCAGATCTCTAACACTTGTATATGATTTTGAAGGTGTTGTAGTAAGTCTCAGCAAAAAAGTTTATGATTTTAACCTCGTATTATGGCGAACACATATGCATATTGCACAGCAAAGATGAATGTTGCCACTCACTACAATGAGGATTTCTACCATAGAACTTTCTAAATAAATATTCTACAGTAATTCTCATTCAAATATGACTTTTGAAATATGACAAACTTGATGTTCAAAATTTTCAAGCATTATTAAACTACAAACTCCGGATATACTTTATCTAAATAAACAGTACTTACATATTTTCCCCACATTAAACACAAATCCTGATACTGCCAATAACACCAAAATAATCCGAATGAATTTTTATCAAAATACTAGTTGAGTAACGTTATTACTCAATTAGCTCCTTAGCATATTTTACTTACAGCTTAACACATACACACACAAAACCACATATATATCTAATTAATATACATGATAATTTAAAATATTTAAATGTTATATTCATTAAATTAAATGCAATATCAAATACCACACCTTTGCAATATTTTCCAAAGTTCCAAGTTTGAGTTCCCCAATAGTTTTCTTGAAAAATAATGGAGTCTTTGCATTGGTTTTCCCAAATTTATCAATTAACTAGAAAGAAAGAAAAGTTTTATTTTAAGAATATACAACTGACACAGAGGTATGCGCCACTGACCAGGCTTCTGACTAAGGTTTAACCGAACGGAATGATGCCTGATCAGTAGAAAAAACAATAAGCAGCCACCACAACAAGGCAGCGGCTGAAAGACTAAACACCATTAATTGCTCTTAATTAGGAATGTCACAGAAAAGTACTTTACAAAAATTATTACAAGGCAACTTGCATAAGTTACTACATATGACAATAAGCAAAACATCAATGTATGACGTTATAGTACAATAAAATACTGCATTTAGTGATTAAATACATGAATATGTAATTTAATGGTATTCCATAGTATAATGCCTTAATATTATGGAATAGAGCTATGATAAAGTACGAATAATAAATTAACTAAAGTATTAACTAAACTGAATTACTCTATGTTAAACATAACTAAATGTGAAATATTTTTTAAAATGCTGCCTTAATGCAGTACTAAAAGTGACACATTACATTTATGATATTTTACATAATAACTGCAATAATGCAAAGCATTTTATACCACATAAATAGTTATTTAAGAATGACATAAATAGGTGACATATGAGTGAACCAAAATACGATAGTACATTGAGTTAGGTGATTACATTAGTTGTATTAAGCAGTGCCCCACTTACTTTATACATACGTTACAATCATTACAGCAAATCAAGCATTACATTAAATGATTCAGTGAAACAATTATACTATATGTAAAATGACAGATATGATAATAATTAAAAACTATACTTGACACAAGAATGCAAAGCAATATAACAATTAAATCAATACTTGAAATGATTCTGATATAAATTTTAAAAAATTAATTAAAAAAAAAGAAAAAAGGGAGTTACTCAAAGTAAATTTCTAGTGACTCAGTGCATTTTATAAAACCTTACATGATAAATTGAAATCATTATTAAATCATTTTATGATATATGATGTAAAAAGTAGAGCTAACTAAGTACAATCATAACTAAACAAACATACATAGGTACCATTTTAGAGTCATTAGGTTTAATTGGAAGCAGAAAAGATGAAAATGCAACCGCTTTTGCCGGGAATCGAACCAAAGACTCGGAAATACTGGCTCAGCGTGCAGAACCACTAACCACAAAGGACTAGAAAGTGGGAAAACCTTATATACCCCCTTTTTAAAGGGCGACTAGGGTTTTAGGGTACCTACAAGCCAAATCCTGGGTGCGAGAAATCATCCACACCCTTTTAGTTCCGGCACCACTGTAGTCATTAGGTTATGGAAGAAAAGATGAAAATATGCAACACCTTACTGAGAAATCGCCACGGACCACATACCAACTCGGTGTGCAGAACCACTACACCACGAAGGACGCTAGGAAAATGGGAGAAATACCTTATACCATGTCTAAAACTTCATTTCTCAATGGTGCACTGGTCTAAATACGCTAATTTGAATTCATTCAAGACTACATTAGTTCTCTATTACAAATATTGCAAAATACTAAAAAACACAATTCTGGACTTATATACAGAAATGTATGATATATAATTGCTGTTGAAATACACTTATAAAAAACACTACTAAACTTTAAACTTTTTAATTAAAAAATTAACATTTCTTTAAAATACAATTTCAGGTTAAAGTTTATAATTGGATGCCCTAGATTCCATATACAAAACTCTCACTTAATCTAGCTCCACATACCCTCATTGGTGGTTGTACGGGTGACAGTGCTGGGTCTTTGTGAATCAAGGAGAGATTCACTTATAAATGCTGGAAGCCTTGATACAGACGCAATCATAGACTTTCCAGAAGTCTGAGGTAATCATGATCTTAGACAGGATTTTTTTAGAAATCACCACCAACAAAGTCTCTTTCATGCTAAAGTATTAACTAAACCATCAAACACCCACTTTCCATTCACCTTTCTACCTCTATTATACTTCCTTTTGCAAAACCTGCTCTCATTAATCTCCACAACTGTAATCAGGACCATCAATAATTTCACTCTTGTTTACACATACATCCGTACCTCTTTACAAAAATTTCTTCAGTCAATCATGGTTTTATTTAAACAGACATTCTCTTCATTCATAAGCAGATTCGTGAAAGCTTCTTATAGCCACAAATAAGTAAAAATTAAAATTTGAATTACACTCAACTTGGATGCTTCGAACCATGTACTCTTCCTTACCTCTTGCAATGATGAGTATCTGCACCTTTCTCATGACAAACCTCCTCTTAGCTATGCAATCAATCCTTGCACTCAACCAGATGTATATCTTTTTCACAAACTGGACATTCATACATAGAACTAATTAAACCTTCAATACACTAATCAACAATAACTTTTGCACCCTTTCACTCTAAATCACGAAAAAAAAAGAAAATCTGAAAGGTTTCAGATTTTAAATTACGCACAAGTGGGGTTAAAACAGTTATCTGGACCGTAAGATTAATCCACGTTCTTTTGCACTTAAACAAAAATTCAGCAAGAGCAATCGCAAATAGGGAAAGCAGTTTTGTCCGATAACGGTCCTCGCACCTGGAAATTTTTTTCTGTACAAAAATTCCGCAGGAAAAGGTGGACAAAAAAGCGGAAGAAAACAAATGAAAATCATAATAAACAATTCCACATGCCAGACAATAGGAACACAGCAAAAGAGACTCATGACCGGTGTCATCACAATGGTCTATAAATATATGCAGGACGCGCACATGAGCAACATGTGTGCAAGTTGAAACGAACATTTATTTGAACAACGCAAACGAAACAATAGGCTTCAGTCCCAGCCCCTTTGGACTAAAAAAGACTGTTTATCTTACAAGACCTACTTCTTTGAGGAAAAGACAGGAAAACGATTAATTAGAACCAGCCAGCTAATGAAACCTGACTGGCAATTAAAATTCCAATAATTAAAAATACATTGAGCTATAGAATGTGATACATGTACTACAAATCACATAACCCTTAATAACTAAGCTAAGAATTTCCAATTAGATTGGACTTAAAACATTGGCATGTAGCAAAAAAATAATTGCCACAACACTGAGGAAACAGATGATTCTGGGTTACCAGAAAAATTGTATCTTTGATATTTGGCGCCAATCTTGGGGGCACTCTTTTATACACTAAAACCCATTTTCATTTTTTATAAATCTCAGAAGTGAATTGTAAATGCAATTCATTCTCATTATTAATTCAATAGTCCAAAATATGAAAGAGCTTGGTTATATAGTTTCATATACTAACGTAAAAGATTTTTAGAAAATAATAAACATTATTTTATTAAGAGAGAAGAAAAAATATTAAAAGAAAACTGTAACTTGCATATTTCAGATTACATCTCAAAGATTAATTTTCATTAGTACTTTGACAACTACTAAAAAATAGAAAGTAAAACATTACACAGATTAATAAAACAAATGATTTTAAGCCAGCTATGAAACATATGGCTTAAAAACAAAAATTTTGTTAAATACAAAAAAGTTGCAAATGAACAAAAAAATTAAAATTTTCCATGAAATATAAAGTTGGAAATTCCTATAAATTAAATATATTTTAATTTATACCAATTTACATTATTTAAATGTATTATTTAATAAGGTAAGTAATATTAATTATTAGTAAATTTATTGATTTTAAAATTATTTGGTTTATTATCAAACTATTCATTAATTTGAAAGTAATTACGACTTACAATTTTGCAAAAGGTAACAATCTCAAAATTGGCTATGAGCAAAGGTATGTCAAAGACAAATTCAGTCTTACATTTTGTGGAGTGGAAAGAGCTGCTTTTAGTCCCCACCTGGGATTGAACCTGACCAAACTCAATTGTTTCGGCGACTTCACTGTTCGTTGCAAGGACTAAAGACTATTTTGTAACATGGGCAAACTGCTCCAAAGTCCTATCTCTAGTTCAATCTAAGAACAGCTTAACTGTATTAAACAAAAAGTGACAAATTTGTGCTTAGCAAATTAAATGAGCAAATTCAGGTTTCTTTTATTTTTGATACTATTTTGAATTTGCTGAGTATAATAACAAATTTCACAATTATTAAAAAAATAGCAGCATTTCAATTCACTAGAAATGTGTGTGTGTATTTAATTATGGCAAGCACCAGGGCTATCTGCCTAGATAGGGATCCTTTCGTGAAGGACTTTCTAAGGGAACTGCTCGTATACACGTTACCATGGGAAACCACAAACCACCCATGCAGCCAGCCCGTTCACGGGATTCGAACCTCGACCAAACTACCATTGTTACGACTTTACCGCTCGGGCGGACCGTCCTCCTAAATGATGTGATATTCTAATTAAATATTCTACTTACATTGTTATATAAATACTGCAGCAGCCTTCGGCGTGTTATTATGAAAAGAACACTGTTTCTCCTTTCTTCATAAACTGGAAGCCTATGGACCCCTTCATGAATTAGTAACTTTGTTGCCTGAGCAAGACTAGATGAAATAAATAAGAGTCTTTTGAGGAAAGTGAAGAAAACAGGTAAATATAACTTAACTCTAATAGACACTATTAATGAATGTTTTTCTGAATATTTCATTCAGATAAATATGCTCAGGTAGGTATTTTCAAGTTATTTTAACAGCACAACAGTTCACAAATAATCAATACTCACAATCAATAAATTTTGTTTTTAAAGACTGCACTGCCTCAAAAATAACAAATGAACTTATTTTGGTAAACATTAATTAGTAGGTATTTCATATAACTGATAAAGTATTTTTCAGACTGAAAAATGAGTTTGTGAAATACCTTACAAATAATATGGACTAACATGATTAACAATATTTTTTTAGTTGATAATAAGGTATTACAATCAAATAATAATTGCCACAGCTAGTTTCATTTGATATAAACAGATTCACATCTATTTCAACATGTTAAGTTTTAAAAAAAACTTTTAGAAAGAATAATATATACAAGAATATAAATTTTTCAATAATAAATCATTATAAGAAAATATAAATCTTTGAACATAAAAGTCGAGCTCTCTTAAAGGGAAGAGGTTTGATTATGAAAAAGCACACAAGTGCTCTCTGCTTAAAGGAAGAAATGCCTCTGTCGAAGACTAAGAAAAATTGTATTATTTTCACATTACATGCAAAGAAAACCACAAAAATACTGATGCAACCAGCTGATTCCTCAGCTTTAAATTTGAGTCAAACTACCAGTATCGAGAAATTTTAATTCGCTTGGCCAATGGCTAGCCCATTAAGATTTTGAAAAATAAAGAATTTAACTGCAGAAAGCATTCTTCATTTCATTTTGATAGTCATAGTACATGCTATTCAATTTTATAGAGAAATGTTTCGAATATTAAAAAAAGAAAAAAAAAATTCTGGTTTCATGTTCATTAAAAAACCCTACATCAGTTGCATTTATATAAACATACAATTTATTAAAATTATATAGATAATTACGGCCATCTTTGAATAATCAATGACAATAAAATACAGTACATACCAAAAATCAAAACATTCGAACACTTAATTTTAAGATATCGCAATTTTCACATCATACATAATTAATTATACACAGTACAAAGTTCGAAATCCAGACATCCAATATTTAGAATGATCTAAAATATGGACCTCCACAATGGCAGTAACCTTTCTTTCTTTCAGAATTTTTTTTATTCTTTACACTACTTCCACAATAAAATATGTGAACAGTCCTGATTCTTAATTTCACATCTGCACTGATGCCAACTTGATGAATCATTATTTATTACTTTCTGCATTTATCACTACATGATTGAAACTGGCAGTTTGAGAAATGACTCGCACACCAATGTCTAAACATTTTTTGTTTCTTTACAACATTAGTAACTGAATAGTAAAGAGCCTGGGAATTTTTTATGTTGACCTTACGCTTGGCAATGATTACTGACTTCAGCTAACACTGCTGCAAAATGTTGAGTGTGCTGACAAATAGAAATTTAACAAAATACATGCAAAAAATAAAATTCGTATATGATACTCATAGGCCAAAGGATTACATTTAGAGTTAGTTATTTGAATTGAGAATAACTGATTTGCAGTTCAGTTAAGCCTACGACTGGTGTCAGAGCTGGTGAAACTGCACCAAGCAGTAGAATTTAGTGCAGGAAAAATGTTTAGAATTTAAAAACACTAAATAACAAAATTAAGGGATGGCAAAATCTTTTGAATTTAAAGAAGGCACTGGGATGCAAAATTTAGGAGTGAAGGGAGGCAAAATTTTTGGAATTTGGGGAGGTGCTACACAGCAGAATTTCAGACCCGCAGAGCCTGCAACCGGTTGCAAAATGTCTAATGCAAGCCCTAGATAAGCTATATGCATATGTCGGAATTTATTTATAAAGAATTCAGATAAGTCTTAAGGTTTACAGGAAAGAGATGTAAGTATAATACTATATATTTAATATAATCCAAGCTTAACTTTGTCAATGTGGGATAAAAGCAAGACAAAATTTAGCAGAACAACATGCCTTTAGTCACCAATTACACAATACATTGTCAATAGCATATAGTGGACGCTAGCTAAACTTTAAGATGATGGCAGCTATTTTGAAGGTTTTCAGATATTTTAAACAAAATGTGAAATTTTTGAATTAATGAAAGTTGTAAAGATATGTAGAGAAATGGTAATAAACGAAAATGATATAACATAAGTTTTTCATTGTGTAATGCCCCAATCATCAATCAATTAACAAATGGCAAAATCTGTAGCATGGTTCTAAATCCAGAAAATATTGCTACCGATAGCAAAGAAAGTTACAGAGAGGCTGCTGAGATTGAAAAAATTTTAATTGGCAATTTAGTAAGAACTCTCAATTTGGAAACCGGAGGACTTGAAGAAAGGAACTTTGTAGCTGAGGAAGAAATTATATCTACCTATAAAATTAAAAGAGAAAATATTAGTACAGTCAAAATTCTTTAATCCGGACTCGTCGGGACTTCGGCGATTCCACATTATAGATCTCAGTTTAAATCTGGTAAATGGCGCAAAATTATACAATTAAAAATATGAAATCATAATTTATGAATAGAGCAATTATGATCTAAAGGGTATCAATTTACAAAAAAAAAAAAAAAAAAAAAAAAGCTTTATTTTTTTTTACTTAAACATTTCATTCAACCGCGCATGTAAAAGCATACGTTTCTAGTCGAAATCAAAATTGCAACCTAAACTATTTTATGTGTATTTTGATATTTATAAAGGAATTGATTTAATCACATCAGAGTATAGCGAGATGAAGCACTACATTTAGTACGAATTTATAAGCCGTGAAATAAAAACTCTACCCGGAAGATGAGGATATGCCGACAGAACTTCCAGTTCACAACACGCCGCGACTTCCCCCCACAGACACTTGAAATTGGAAACAATTTGAAGGTAGAACAATCACCTCTCTGTCACTTTCTCATGCCTTTATACTTTTTTTGCAGCAATCCTTTTTGTTTAATGGACAGCGAACATGCTTTCACTTTGTAGATCCTTTGGCAGCTCCAAATCGTAAATTCTATTTGCATAATCCAAGTTCAAGCTTACTTTTATAAAATTGCTCTAAACTTCGCAAAAAAATAAGCCGATCCAATTCGAAGATTGAGGAACACCGCATCTGCACATTAACTGAATAGATAATTTGTAATTTTAGCTTAGCTTATAACGTCGGTTAAATTAATGGCATGTGTAAAGGTATTAAATGCATAATCGTTTATGCTGCAAAGTTGTAGCTTTGAGGTCCGATTGTAGATCATCCGTATTAGACGTTCGATTAAAGATTTTTGACTGTATAACAAAGAAAATTACATAATTTACATTTAAAGAAATGCTTAATAAAACAAACAAACAAATATTGAGCCTTTTTTTTTTTTTTTTTTTTTTTTTGTAAATTTTCATTAAGGTTATAAATGCTTTATTATTTCATAAACCATTATTTCATATTTTTAATTTTTATTCGAAACTGCCAAAGTATGGATGAGGGCAGATCTCGGACTTAGCACTGTATTTCAAAATTGAACCGTAATGGTTTAATTATGATCAATTTTTAACTTCAGTTAGAATGCACACCAAGGACACTTATTACTACATTCAGAATGGAAATGTTGATAAAGAATTAAATGGAAGAACGTACCAATTCTATTCATAGCATGTAAATTATTATGACAGACATAAATTATTTCATTTCATTCAGGAAGGGCATGAAACCACCTTATCTCAACGAACATTTGCATTAGCCTATCTAAAACAAATTAATTTAAATATTGTATTATTTAATGACTTCTAAAACACCCTGTACATCGATATAAAAATAGCTAAAAATTATCAAGGAAAAATATCAGACCAGATACAATTAAAATCCAGAACTCCAGTTAGTGATGTTCTCCAGGTATCTAGCAGACATATTTGACATCCAAAATACTGTTACGAAATGTACAGGTGCAGCAAGATGGCTTCCCCGCAAAGTTGTTTTAGGTTTGCCATAAAATGGCAAGGGAAGGCAGGGTTGCCACATTTGGCGACATGCCATGGACAGTTGGAGAACCTTCGGGAACAAATTCTTACTGGTTTAGCCCAGAATGTTCTCGAACACCAGCCGAAAGTTATATAAACCCTACTGGTCTGCAGTCAGGAGAGTGCCTCGTCGAGAGGCCAAGCGAGTGCCTCATCTAGAGTGCGAGTGTCTCATCTAGTTAGTCCGTGCGGAGACGATTGAGTTGACAGCCGGCCAGTGAGTGCCAAGCGCCCCGAAGGAGTCTCTTAGTGCATCATCGAGAGAGAGTGTTGAGCTCCGGGAACACTGAAACGAAAGTCAGGAGCTGTACTTGTTTCAAGTGCAATTGAGTTCAGCGTGGAGAGTCTCAAGCTGGGGAGTCCGATTTTTTAGACCGTGCAGAGTCAGGACTGTATCTGGTGCTTGCATGTAGCTGTCTCCCACTGATAGCCTGAACCTGAAGGCTGTGTCCTGTTGTTCCGCGAGTATTTAATAGATCTTCAAAGACTGTAAAAGTGACTTTGGAGCTGTCCTGATTAAATATTGACCTATTAAAATGTGTTTCGATACTTCATCAAGTAGTGTTGTCATTATTCACTCCAAATCCACAAAAACTCCGTATGAACGTGAAGAAAGAAAATAACATAACAACTGGTGTCAGAAAAGAAAGAGCGCAACAATATGTACAAGCCTTTCAGATATGCATGAAACATAACAGATATCCATTAAATATTGTGACTGTACTTATTTTACAGGATAAATATGTAATCCAATTTCATACAACTCATCCTAGATTTAATTAATTGAGAAAATGTGCATTAAAATTACCTTTCATTGGGTCCAATTTTCATGAAAGGCTTTTCTACTTGAGTTATTTCTAAAAAAAATTTAAATATCAGAAAAGATATTTTATTATTGCAGTTATTTGGAAAACGAGATGAAAGAAAGTATTCATTACACTTACTCCTCCAAGTTAAAATTTTTTGATTTTCAATATCTTTTATATCCTCCTGGAATAAAAATTTCAAAAAATATATCTGGATTCCACATCAATATCCTGATATTTTAAAACAGGAATAAGCTAAAAGCAATATCAAAAAAGTAAATATTACATATTCTAGTCATAAACTCAGTACAATTTGCTAAATATACCAATAAATTAGAATTCTTAAGATTTTAAAGAAATATAAGCTATTTGAATATTTGGAAATAAATCAAAATGGATCTCTTACTATATATATGGGCATAGGTTTTAATTTTGCATAAAATATTTTTAAATAGGTTTTGCTGTATCACACAGGGGAAAAATAATCTATATAACACTTTATTTTTAATCTATATAATGGATTAGTTTTCTAAATATAAGCATATTATGCAAAATAAAACCTCTCACTTAAAATGAGTTCTTAGCTAAATTTTTTCACTTATTCCTTTAAACAACAAATAATATGTCCTCTTATAAGAAACAACTGATGTCCGAACCTATTAAGTGGTATGTTGACTTGAAACAAACACACAAACTTCCTCAGTTAAAAAATTCCTGTATAGGTATATAAGTTGTACAGCAATACAAATGTTCAAAATTTGTTTCATGAATTACCACAATGTATGTAAGGGCTAATTGCCTAGAAATATTCGAATTGCTCATCATTAAAGAAAATTTATGAAGGTTATATATTGTTTGCTTTTTGCAGATAGCACAATCAAAAATGGATACCTCAAAATATATATTCCTGTATACAAGACTAAAAGCATATAGAGACAAGTCTCCACATAATGATGCTATTCCTGTCATGCTCAAATTGATGGAAAATATCTTTGTAAGCGCATGAAATGTACTAACTGGCCAAGTTCCAGGATTTTAAAACAGTGAAAAGTAGAGCATTCTTGCAAACTTATGAAGCTAAAGATAGTACGAACAGAATGGGAATTCTTCTCCTTATTCCCCTTTCCTCCCCAAAATTCTGCCAGTAGAAAATATTTTGCCCATAAAAAAACTGATAACAGAATCACATAGTTCTATTCCAGAATGTTAGATACTCATTTGAGAACACAAGGATTCTTTTGCATGGTGGGAAAGATAATATGTCTTCCAAAGGAAGTTAGTCTCCTTTTTTTAATTAATCTTATTTAATAGACTATATTAACCTTCTCAGGGAGTCAAAATATCAATACAATCAGCGTTCAAAATAACGATAATGATCCGCAGGACTGTAAACAGAAGTTTACTCGTGTTTTTGCTGATACATTGACTTAACCCTACATAAGGGATATAATGATGCTATATTAGCTGACTAGTTAGTTCACTTCAATCCTTCTCTATATCACTAAAAATTACTAAGGGATATACAGGACAAGGTCTATCTATTCTTTTGCCACATGATGCAGTCTCTGCTACTCTTAAATTCTGCTGTCTGATATAGTTCTGGCATCAGCCTTCCGATTATACAGCAGTGTAAATCGGTCATACAATTTTTGGCAACATTGTATGACAATGACAAAAATTTTTGGCAACATAGCCTTTTGCATGACAGACACTCTGGCAGCTCAGTAACATATACATGAAAAATTATTGGTCAAACCGCATCCAATAATGAACAAGGGTGACTGATATTAAGATCGTGCACTCAAACTGGAGGAATTGAACCTCAACTAAATGAAAACAGTATTTCTATCTATAAGCACTGAGTTTTGCTTTAGATACCTGAAGATCTGATATATAATTCAATCAGTACAAAGAAAAGATCTGATATGGAAATTTACTCATATTAGCTCCTTCCCTCAAAAAACTAGAAGACAAAAATAAACTTTCTTTGGGCCATGTTCTAGATCTGAGAGATAATGGATCGAGAAGATTAGCCCTCCAAGTGTTATGAACATAAAATTCCACATCAAAGGATAGCTTTTCCATTTAATTATGCAAGAAAATTTCTGCCAGATCCTGATCCACCCGATGTCAGGTTGGATGTATATTGGAAGAAAAGGAGTAAGAGTACAAAATGAGAGAGTCATTTTGGAATTATAATCAAGAAAATAGCATTTATTCATGATACTATGGAGAACATTGAAATTTCAGGGCTAAGCCCATAATATTGAGAGGATTCAGGAAGAAAATATTCATTGAATGCATGAACTGGAAATTCTTTCATAACGTTAATTTGATTAATCTGTCAAATTTGGCTGCTAGAAGTCCCCAGGTGATGTTCCAATCATTCTACTCAAAATTTTAACTTCTGGTACAGATAATATTACATTTCTCATCAGCACAATGCTACTAGCACACTTAGGTAATATCTCTAGATCTGATGTCGGCTTTTAATAATCTTTGCAGGCTGGGTATACTCACCACCCGGCCACCAAAGATCACTCCAAAATCTTACCTGTTGTACAAATCTCTACAATTTACTGAAGAATTATCTTCATAATAGAAAAGTCATCTACAAAAGAGATGGCATCAATGTTTTCAAAAATTATTATAAGGGCACACCTCAAGGATCTAATTTAAGTTCAATTTTGTCGAAAATTGTGGTTAATACTACATTAAAGTTAGACATAGAATAATGTCACTGTTCAAGCATAAATCCTACAGACTTAGAAAGAAAAGTGAAGAAAGCATTAGTGAATATGGAAAAATGGAATGATAAATATAACTCTGTTTTAATAGCACTAAAACAAAAATGATCTAAGGGTTCAAAAACTGGTAAAAAAAATTCAACAAGATCACGATGGAAGAATGTCCCTATTCAAAATAATGATACATTAAAATATTTAAGATTCATTTTTGATAAAAAAAAATTAACCTGGATTCCACACCTCTCAGGAAGTGCGAGATCGAACACACACAATTGTAAACTATTTAAATCATCTTATGATGCACAAATGGGGACTTTATAGGTAAAATATGGAAAGAACTGTATTTAAGAGTAATTAAAAGATTAATATTATATGGCTGCCCTGGACAGTGGCATTATAGTGGCACAATAAGAGCAACAAAAAAATTGCTACAAATTCAACAACTAGTATAACTCCATATAACTAAAACATTTCATACTACACCAGCAACTGTTCTTCAAGTTCTTGTTGGAGTGCTTCAAATAAATATTAAAGCAGAACAGGAATCAAGTTATTCCATCTCTTTAATTTAATGCATGGCATAGAAAAATGCATGGCAGATGAATTGAATATACCAAGTTCTGTAGTGGTATTAAAAGTCCCAAAACTGAGCAAACACACAGCTCAATTCACACCTATCATTTGGCATATGAACGTTCCCAAATGAAAGGGAATAGAAATTTTCACAGATGAATCAAAGATAAAGAAGTTATAATATGTAAAAAATTTAGACTAAATGATTCAAGCACAGTTTTCCAAGCTGAAGTAATAGCTTTGAAGGAAGCCCTTTTTATGGCTAAATGCTTTTCTCAAAAGTAGTAAGTCACAATATACAAGCATTTATACAGATAGCTGAAGTATTTTAAAGGCATTATGTACCATATGATCTTTACTTATTCAAACTCTTCAAGAAACAATAAATATGGAAATGAATATTCGTATAATTAACCTAATTTGGATATGGGGATGTACAGGTATAATAGGGAATGAGGCTGCTGATACAGCAGCTATAGATGCCACATTAAAAGATATGATGGATCATATTCCACCTTCCTATTTAAAGACTTACAATCAAGAACAAAATTTCTAAACAAATTTTCATAAAATGGCAAAGAAGATACAGGAAGATTAACTCATGAATATTTCCCACAAGTATCCCTAAAAAGAATTAAAAAAAAAATTTCTTCCTAGTACAATTAGCAACAAATCATGGAAAGTTCCCCCTTTTTCAGCAATTCTTAAGAAGGAATGTAAGATGTAGGTGTGGAACACCTACACATCTAGCAGATGCTAAACATTATATATTACCATGTTCTTTACTTTCAATTATTAGAGCAAAACAGTTAACCAGGATTTGCAACAAAAATTCCAGCAAAAGATTTATTCTACAATACAAAGTGTGTGTCTGCACTTCAAAAAGTTATGAAATATATTATTGAAAACAACGGCACAGTGACTGTAAATAATTAATTATATTACATGAATAAATTAACAAGTAGTAATTTAATGGCAAGTAAAGATTATAGCATGTCCTTTCTATATCTGTAAAGTGGAAGAGAACAAGACAAAATAAAAAGGCTTCTTTCTGCTTGTATATGCTGTATATGTTTCCCTTCCTTACTCTATTAGTTTATTACTTTATATGTTTAACAATGGACTAGTGGGTCCTGTTGACGATGGTATTAAAATTTCCAGCCGAGCACGGTTTATCATTGTTTATGCTCTCAGCCTTATGGCTGCATATGCTGGGCAAATGTCCGATCAATTGTCTGGGCAATATCGGCACAGGATTTAAAATTATCTCCCTACAGTGTTCTTCACTAAACCTGGCAGAAATTCAAAATATAGACAGATTGATGACACCAGTTATCCGATGGCATGCTGTGCAGATATAATACGGCTATCCTCTCAGAATCACTAAACCTGAATAATGCTTTCAGCTGATTAGAAGACAATTTTACAAAATACACTCATGGACAAAAAAATTAGCACACAAAGAAGGAGTCATCAAAATGAAAAACTGTGACAACTGCTCATATTGTCTTTCGTTATGATCCCACAATTATTTCTTTGTGCGCTAATTTTTTTGTCCATGAGTGTATAACATGGTAGGGGGGGAAGGAAATCAAAACATGATTTATGAAATCAGTTTGAAATGCTGATAATCTATTTTTCATATAAAGAAGTATGAAATAACCAGCATGTTTCTGGTGATTCTGACTACAGGAAAAGACAATTACATATTGCTTTCCCTCTTGCCAGGGTAGGTGAAAGAAGGGATACTATATAAAAAATTAACTTCATAGTAATTCTAATTCTTTTATATATATTATGTTCCAAAATCAATTTAATGTTCCAAAATGAATGTTAAGCTTTTAATTTTTTTTCCTTACAAAATTTTAAAATAAAAAATATAACACACTTTCACATAAAATCAACAGAACTCAATAATAAAAAAATTAATACTTACACGTGAAGAATAATAATAATGCCTTAAGACATTTATGAAATCTGAGATTGTGAGCATTCCTGAAAATAAAACATATTAAAGAATTTAAATTTGATATTAAAAGCATAATTTCTACAGTAAATAATGCTAAAATAGTCTTTTACAAGCAGAAAATTAACACGCAAATTACACTTTCATACACGAATTTACACTTAATTTAAGCAAAAGCAATAAAAACTAATAACCTTTACCTTTTTTTTAACCAATTATTATTGCTTTTATTTTTTGGTGTTAGCAACTAAAAAATAAAACAACTTATCAGCATTCGAGTATTTTTATTTATTTTATAGTTTTCTTAACATTTGCTAAAATTAGTACAATCTAAAACTATACTTGTTTTTAAGTTTCTGTTCCCCCCCCTCGCTTTGTGCTGGTATCTGTGTTGGATGCAATTTCTATTTCATTAAAAACGAAAAAACTTTTATACAGGATTTTATTGAAAACTAAAACATTTTTATGGTGATGGCACAGCGGCAGGCACATATTAAACAATCAGTGGGAGCCATGGTGCCCACGGGCATAGGGTTCGGAACCCCTGGGTTGCAGCCATGGAGGTAAGAAAGGAAGGAGTGGCTGAACCGACACTAGAAGTGAAGCACTGCTTCCAAACTTTGGTCACCAGATGGGGTGTTTTTTGTTTACATTCAGAAGCTCACTTGACAGTGCTCTGATGGTACTTTGACAAGCGACATTTCCATACAAATCGAAAAACGGGACACCTTCACATGAAAGGAAATTTTCATAGTGTGATGGATAATAGCAATTTGTATAGTTTAGTGGCTTTTACCCAAAAATCACATGTTGGTTATTTTTCGATAACTAACAACAGTGATTTTGATTATGAATTTGTTTTATAAAATTCTAAGCTGTTGAACTACAAAAATATAGATTTTAGCAAAAATGTTATGCTAAAAGAATGAAAAATACCTTACGGTACCTTTAACCCTTTGCGGCAGATGTGTCCGATCTGGACACACCTAAAAATTTTCTTCTGTACGAACAGAAAAATTGAATGAAAAAGGATTCATAGGTTACTCCGAACCTTCTTTATTTTTAGCAGATGGCAACTCAACACAATTCAGTCCACATATTTTAGCCATGTTTAGTTTTTTAAGACCCTCATTTTTCAAAGAAATCTTCCAGATTTTTTTTAGGGTATAAAAGGAATTGTTTGAAAATAAATTTCTATGTTATTTTTTTGGCCGTATGCTAATCTGATTATTCTATATTAGTTTTAAATTTTTACCTTGAAATCTTGCCTAAAATCAAACAGCGAACCCTAGGTGTGCCCAGAACGGGCTCACCGATAATCTAGGACAACTGAGTCTGTATTCTTTGTTTCTCCAGTTCTCATCAGTCAGTTCATTGACAACATTGCTCATTTCAGCACTGTTTTCGAAGATCTATTCAATCAGGGTGCCCTATTTTGGGCACACCCACAGAATTAAACAATAAGTGCTATCTTCACAAAATTTTACCAGTGTACTCCTCTAGACCTAATTAGACTGCCTACCTTTTTTTTTAAATCAAAACTCCAAATTTAAAAGGTAGCGTGCCAGAAAGGGTTAAAATTGTATACATCTTTTGATACCCTTGATAGAGTATTCGCTACTTTTATTTTATGTTCCAAACACCAAAATGTTTTAAATAAAGTCCATTTTTTTTTCACATCCACTATTATTATAACATGTACTTTTTAAAATTTTTTAGAGGAGAGGCTTTACTGTTGCTCATTTTAAACTCATCATTTTATTTTTATATATCTGAAAAATAATCATTTTGTTCTTACACGTTTTACTTAGTTATTATTATTTATTATATTATCAGAGAATTATTAAACTGTAAAATCGATAAAAGAGATATTGAGTGCTCTGCCAAAATATATTTACTAGAAGATTTGAATTTGATGATGAATGTATCCTAAAACGTGTTTTAAGTCAAAAGATTGAAACTTGATGGCCAAATGTAAATATAAAATTATGCATGTTAAAATATTTGTAATTAGGCATATAAGTCAGGTTAAGTTTTTATTAAATAGAGTAAGGCAAGTAAGGGCTATCTGCCTAAAGGAGAGATGCCATCATGGAGGAATTTTGAAGAAAAACTTACCTTTGAGTGTGTATTAAAAATAATCCATATAATTTTTCATTCAAATTATATTTATACATATTTCTTATATGAAACTTTCAGGTATATGTTAAATTAGTGTAGATTACTCGAAAAATATAGTGAATGCACAGAAATTAAAGATTTGCACATGCCTGAAATGAAAAATATGAAATATGTACGGGTATTTATGCATGTGCTTGCAAAAAGCATGTATCTGCCCTTAACAAAATACGTAAATATTTATTAAATTATTTATAAATGTATTTGAAATGAAGGATTTATTCATTCATAAACAAGTGAAAGTTACTGTGAAGAAAACTAATTATTAAATGTATCTAAATTTATGATTATAAATATTATCTAAATATATAATAAACTTAGCACTGAATTGTAAACATAAATTGAAATCCTGTTGACAAATACATTATAAAAATTATTTAAGCAAGAATTGTTCATACTGGAAAGCAATCTGTTAAAAGGTATTGTAAAACAAATTCTATGAGATGCGTATTTAAGAAAGTAATAAAGTAGAATTTTGGAATACATATTGTTGAAATTATGGGTAAACAAATATGATAAGTATAATTAAAAGAATTGTTTCCCTTACAGTTTATAACTCAGTTACAAGTTTTAAATAATATTTTTAAAAAAATCCTTATTTTATTCCCTTTCAGAAATACTATCCAGAGAAAGTTAAGTACTATTTAAAGTATTTCGTTATTAAAATAAAAGGTGCTCTAATTTGAAATAGACTGAATAGAGCATTAATTATAAATTGACTTCCATTTAAAAGATGCCTCAGGTGCTAAAATATGTCACATTTGAAAAAATATTTTAGGAAGAAGCTCCATAAATAGAAAAGAAATAATGCATAATTTTAATATTAATAATACAACAAACTTTGATCTTAATTTTTGTAATCCTTAACTGAATAAAATCGAATTACTTGAAACTTTTTTTCTAATGTAATTAACGAAAACTTGTGAAAATATTTCATTCAAATTAAACGTTCTGAGCAAACTGTTCTGTGAAACGTATTTAATTCCATTCAGAATGAAATGTTGTTTAAAAATGTATTCTTTTCATATATACTTAGAATTCTGAAGTACTGTAGAAAAAGAAAATATATACATTTATATGTACATTAATGACGTAATTACAAAATATTTACATCCGATCATGTCAAACCCCATTGAACTTAATGGTAAATTATCCATGTTTTGGTCACCACGTAGGGATCACCAGTGCTTTAGAGCAGGGTGTGGGGAAAACTGGTTAGGGCCACTCCATCTTACTTCCTACCTCCATGGTTGCAGCACAGATTACATTAAAAATTAAAACTTGCATACTAAAATACATTATAAAATTTAATTTTTCTAAACTGTCATTATCAAATCTACTGAAATTAGCTATTATTGAGTTGTTTAGTGATTTAACTGACAATACTTTTCTGCCACTTGGTAATTCTTATAACTTATTTTGACCTTATTTGACAGATTTATCTTTCACTTGGAAACTATTTTAGTCTAAAAATTTTATTATTTGATAACTTGATCATATTAATTGTATTACTGATCACAATAAGCAATGAATTTTTCATGTTGTCATAAACAAATGAGCAGGACTTTGGCAGATTGAATAACAGTATCCAAACAACAATAACCATATCACATTAAATAGCATCTACAGCAAACAGAGATATTTCGTAAAACATGGTACTTCTTCCCTCAAGTACCTATCGTACAAATGATGATTCTCTAATGCATTCAAATTCCTATGAATCTCAACAACAGGCTAAAAATAGATAGATCTGTCTGCTTAAAATTTAACCAAAAATAGAATTTCATAAATCTAAAAACATTGCTTATTGGTGTCGTACAACATTCCTGATTCCTTAGCAGCAGCAAATTATTTTGTGCCTAGCTACTAGACAAGTACTATGTCATCCTAGAAAACAGTTAACTTGGAGCTTCCAAAACTAAATTTGGAATATATTGGAATCTTGTAGAAAGTAAGTGCTGTGGAGTTTCCAAAACTAAATTTGGAATACAATGGAATTCTGTAGAAAGTGCAATAAGCATAATGGAATTTTCATATGCACTTGCAAAAACTATATACTTACCTACAAAGGATCGAGACGTGCTGTCCCATAATGGAGCTGCTCTGATTTCTGAAAAATAAATATCAATGAAAAAAAAGCAACTTATTTTGGTAACAGTACTTAGCCATTCAATTATAGAGGTTGGGTGAAAATGTTGAAACACATGGTAAATGAAATGCATAAAGTACTAATTTTCCTTTTGAAAATGTTGACATTATAGTTTTGCAACTTACGATATCCACACTTAGAGTTTCAAGAACAAATTATTGTAGTCTCTTTGGCATATACACGTGTGACCAAAGCAGTGAATTTATTGTATATCACTATTAAATGCTCACATGTAATAATATTATTTAATATTGTATTTAATAATTTTATTTTAGTTTAATATCTTGAAAATAATGTTGTTAAAAATGTGATGGCAATCGTTACAAAATCCTATTCCTTTTTGAGCTGATGGAATTCTGATGAATCTCTTGTTGAGTGTGGAATTCAAACAATGTCTCTGCTTCTAATCTGAGTGTAAAAAGTGACAAAATTCTTTCTGTGTAAACAAATCACTGCATAGATGGTGACAAAATTTTTGTTCCTTTCATGAAGAAGCCCATTAGTTTTTAAAGATAAATGAATTATTTCCTTTCCATTTCATTAAGTAAAAAAGAGTGATATATTATAGATCTGTAGACAGTTAGTCGTGGTATCTGATAAAACTGTTAATTTTTCTTTAACATGTTCTAACATAATTTTTAGTGCCTGAACATGGACTCAAAACATCATATGGTTGATTATCTAGTTATAGAAAGTCAACCATATAATTCTCATGTGGGCGTTAAAACTCTTATAATTATTTTAACCGAGGAATTTTGAATTATACCACCTAGATGTACTATTATGGATATTATCAGAAAATGTATTAAATGTAAGAGATTCACTTTAAAGGCTTCAGTCACTCTACCTGTTCAGTAATGGTGTAATGACATCAAATCAGAAGAAACATTTCATTTACGAAATTCACAAACGTTTATTTGGAGATGATCATGAACAAGAATCATTTACATTTTCTCTGATGAATATACAGGGTGCGGCAGCGTTCATAATAGGATATTAAAAAAACACCATAAGACAGTAACTGTAATTTATTTATTACCTCTTATGTCAATTAATAGTTAAAGGTATGCCATTTACTTATGTGCAAGTCATAGTCCATTGCATGGATTACTTTTTGAATATGATGCCTGTCAAATGATGCCCCCTCTGCACAACACATTCATCTAGGCAGCATTGGAAGCTTGCCATAACTTGGCGTAATGTACTCCCTGGGACATTGCCAATAGCAGTTTTGATGTGATCCTTCAACTCAGGAATGGTGGCACAATGTGTTCGGAAAACTTCTTGCTTCAGGTGGCCCCAAAGGAAAAAGTCTGCACATGAAAGGTCAGGCGAACGAGGCGGCCAGGAAATGTCACCAAAACGGGAAATTACTCAACCTGGAAATGTCTGTCGCAATGGTCTGTCCATCTGGAACTTTCCCATGACATCCCAAGTTGAAATGTTGCGGAAATAGACGCTGGGTAGCAATAACAGAGTAGTTATTCTTCAAATAACTTTCAATAGCAAAGGCATGATGCTGCGCACTCCACCGATCTCTATCACTGTCACACTCAAAATGGCAGCTAATTAGTACACGAATGTGGCACGAGCTGGCACGTATTCATGCAGTACGTCATTGTACTATGCAAGTCAAATTACGCTATGAATGCTGCCGCACCCTGTATAACATTTATAGAAATGTTTATAAACTCAAATTATTTTATAAATAAATGTGTGTACCTCAAAAATTACTATAAAAATAAAACTCTCTTGCTCTTGATAAACATTAGTCACCCAACTCCTAACCAAAACAAAACCTCCTTCTAAAATACTTTGAACCACAGAGTATTAACTTTAAACTAAGGGAAAAAGAAGATTTTGATCTGCTGCCACTCAAACGTAAGTAAATTATAATTAGTAAAGAAGCAGTTTATGACATCCTCCCTCCTAAGTTAACTAAGAACTCAATTAATGTTATTTATAGCAGAAAACAGAATTTTATAATTTTATAATTAATTAAAAAATTTTAACAGAGGTAACCACATGCAGTTACTCAGCTTCCTTTTCTTATCTTTTTAGACTATATTTTTCAAGAAAATTACCACTAAAACTTACCATAAAAATTACCAATAAAAGAGATTAATTAATTAATAAGCTTTATTAATTAACTATATACGTTTAAAATACTAGACTGTATTTTCATGAAAAATTAAGCAATTAATTAATTAGCTTTAGTAGTTAATTATACAAATTAATTAATGAGCTTTAATGGTTAATTATACAAGTTTAAAATTCTATTAACTGCCATATCTGGTATTATTTTCCTACTCATTTTCAGTTTTTTTAATGCTTAAAATTTCCTCCTTATTTTTTCAGCAAAATTAGTCCCAGTTCCTTTTATGAGAATTTTTAAAACCTCAAAACGTACGCCTGCGATATTTTCCTCTTATTTTTACCATGCATTTTCGATGATAATCTTTTTAAACTGCAAAGCTTTTGAGCCACACCGAAAATGACGACGATGTTGTAAAACAGCAATGTTTTCGCCTTCCTTTCTTTTATGTGGGCAAGACCATTACAGTCATGTTCATTAGAAAAAAGAATATTCAACATCATCTGCAGTTATACGGAACAACTCTGCCCTGGACTAACCAAGTTCCTTAACTCGAGGTGATCCTCACTAATTCTCTAACTTGGCCCCCACACATACACTCTTCCAGTTCGTAAAGTTAAACTATACACCTTAATTGTTCGAAACAGTGTTCCATCCATTGAATGAGTAACTTGTTGCAGCCCATGTTATGTTATGCCTATTCAGTCTGGGTGTATTCTTGTAAATCTGACAGAAAAAAGACTTCAAACTGCACATAACTATGTTCTCAGGCAGATCTCCAAAGCATCCTGGTATGTTCGTAATAATATTATTCATTAAGAACTTGTCATTGTCCAAATACAATCATTTTATTACTATCTTGCAGTTAAATTTCATGCAAAAATGAGAACACTTAGTCATCGTGATCTCCGAATCTGTAACTATAACTATCTGGATGAGCAGCATAAAAAGCGGACTATGGCCATACTTAACCCCAGGGTGTTAATGGAATAATTAGTACTGAATGTTGATTTATTTCTAATTTTATTTTTCATGATTTGTACTTTTATTGTACTGTATTATTGTATGTATTCTTTTTAAATTGTTTAAACTTTAACACTGTGACCGCTTGCACTGTGTACTTTTAGTTCTCAGCTCGGTCAGCTTTCTGAACAATCTGTTCTAATTAATTAACATTTATAATACACTGGTTATCATAAAATAAGGAAAAATTACAAAAATAGCGATAACTCCCTCAAAAATTAGCCAAACCGTGTAAAATTTGAATATGTTGCCAAGTAAGAGTAGCTGAGTAAAACTGCGATACGCAAATTAGTGGCGCTACTTTCGGAATACGTCATCTGCGAGGAGCATAAAAGTCCACGTTTGAGAACAAACCCACATATTTCACTGTGACAGTGACATCAGAAATCTGAGATAGCCAATTTGTAACAATGACCTCCAGGCATCATTTGCCTGCAGAACTGCGATGTAGAGCCATTGGGAGACTAGAGGCAGGACAAAGTCAAACAGAAGTGGCCAGATGGCTAAATGTGAGTCCTTCTGTGGTTCATAGACTTTGGAGGCAATTTCAAGGTTCGTGTCAACATCAACTGTGCGTAGGAGGCTTCATGAAAGTTGTCTGTATGCGAGGCGACCAGCCATTTGTGTGCCGTTCACTCCATGCCATAGGAGGGACCGTTTTCAGTGGGCACGACATGTCCATTGGACGCCTGATCAATGGAGGGTAATTCTATTTACGGATGAGTCCAGGTTTAGTCTAGAAAGCGATAGTAGGCATTATTTGATATGGAGAGAACCTAGAACCCGGTATCATCCATGAAAGGATGCATACGGAAGGGGCAGTGTCTGCGTTTGAGATGGCATCTCTTTGGGTGGACGCACACGCCTCCATGTCTTTCCAAGGGAAACTGTGAACGCTCAGATTTATAGAGATGACATCCTTGATATTTATGTGCGCCCATATGCCAGGGCAATAGGTGATGCTTTCCTGTTACAGGACGACAACACAAGACCACACATGGCTCACATCGTAGATGATTATCTTCAACAGGAAACAATTACGCGCATGGAGTGACCAGCTCGATTCCTGGACTTGAATCCTATCGAGCCGTTTGGGATGTTTTAGGGAGATGTCTAGCTGCTCTCAATCTGTCCCCTCAGACCCTTGTCGTGCTTGCAACTGCTTTGCAAGAGCAATGGCTCTCGCTTCCTATAGAACTGATAGATTGCATAACTGAAAGCATCACACATCGCTGTATTGCTTCTAGAGGCGATCATATTCCCTATTGAAGGTACTTTTCCTATAGCAAACTGACACCTTCGATTTGTTCATTTTATATATGTGCTAATTTCTATACTACCATATTTAAAAATACCATATTTGTCTGGTAATTTCTTTTAATGCTATTTGATACCTTACTATGTGTTGTATATTGTGGTTAAGTTTCATTAAATTCTACATGTAACTTTTTCAGTAATCATAATTTTTGTGATTTTTCCTTAATTTATGATAACCAGTGTATATTTAAAAACAATTCAGTAATTCAAATTCAAATTTGTTATCTTATTTCTTAACGTATTATTAAGTACATTATTTCAAAATTTTTAATCGTTCGATTCAGGGCAGGGCACTGGACCCAGGGACCCAGGCACCCGGGTAAGTTAAACACTATTCCACGTCAGCTTGATTTTTTCTTTACCACAACATTTTTTTGTATAAGGTCATTTTTACCTTGCGTTGTTTTCTCCGCCATGTTCTCGGGTTTATACTAGCCACTTCATATTGCAGAACAAATTAAACACTATTTGCAGAATAGTAAAAGAAAAAATTAAAATTGAGAAAATAAAATAAGTTATTTCTAAA